CCCCCCCCCAGGATATAAACTCCCCGTTGATAAGCCCATCAAAAACGGGGTCACTCAGATTCAAGTTTCGTTATGTCTATCGCATAAGGAAAAGTAGACCTCGAAAACCACGAAATATACACATTTTACATCAATTTGTACTTTTTCCCCTTGGTACAATCTGGTATTTTCCTTTGTTTTATATTCATTCTTACATATTACCATACAATTATACCAAGGATAAAACTAAGCCACAACATGTATGTATGACAGACGTCGGTTCAAGACTTATTTGGTTCTATATCATATCATTTTTAATTTAAAGTCTAAAAAGAAACAAACCTTTTGTCCAGCCAACAACGGTCACACTGGATATAAACTCTTACTGGCCAATACATAATGGACTATAAACTTGAGTTTGGTTTAAAGTGGCTCAATACCCTAAAATATGACGATTTTGATGAAAAATTCAATTATAACATGCATGTATGATACTTTTAGAAAAGCTGTAAATCATGTACAGCTTGGCAGTTATAATTGTCCCTTCGTACGAAATAGAATATTTCCTACAACCGAAGTAACTTTCACATGAGACAGCCCTTTTCCCCCTTCGCCACAACCCCCGAGCTGCGAGCCTCAACAACCGCTCCCCCCAGTACTGGGTTGTAAATGTTTAATTCACCCATAAACTTAAAGTGTATTTCTCTCAAATGTCTATATTTTTAACTGACTGACCTCTCGGCAAGATATACTTTGAAACATATTTAAGAGGGTTTCCTGAAAGTGATGCAATGAACCAAATAAATTGTGACATTTTTACTAAAAATGTCGCAATTTATTTGGTTCATTGCATCACTTTCATTGATAGCTGTTCGTCAGTCTCGTAACACGAGATAATTTGTACTGGGTTTGGTGCAAAATGAGTAATAAAAAAAAAGAAGCCTGTAAAAAACACTGCGAGAGTTAACTGTCAAAACTTTGTTTTAGTGCTTAGGGCGAAACAGAGATTCACTCAATATGTTTTACTGAAGTCAAATCTTGTTTTATAAAAGGGTGTTAATGCTATGAAATAGTACTTCAAAAGGGTTCGGCTGGTTTTCAGAGCGACCAATTAAAATAAAAACCTTCAAAATTCATGTTCTCTCAATGAATGCAATCGAATGCAATTTATCTTTCGTCCTCAAGTTTAAACGAACGTTTTGGTGTTGTTTAGGGAATCAAGTCACCTTAATACGTGGATGACTTGAGGTCACTCCGGAATTCATTTAGCCTGTTCCAAGGCTCCCGGTAGTTGTGGACGAGCGAAAAAAGGAGAGCGAGCGACATTAGTCCTTCGTTTTTTCTCTCGCTCGCCCTCTGTTTTTTCGCTCGTCCCCATCTACCGGGAGCCTGGAACTGGCTAGAATTCGTTTGGTAAAAACGCACGCCAAACGTTTTGCGCCTAATTCAGGAATTGAACGAAAGTGTAATTGAATTGTAGTTCATTAGTAAGAAAATTCATGTTTGTAACTACTGTCACTGGTGTGCATCGCCAAGTATTTCACTAACGTTGAAGTTGCAATTGGGGCATACATCTACGTTTTGTTTAATCCAAGTTGGAAATTCCCAAGTAAATTATAAGGAAACTTGTGAAAGAAACGAGACGGCTTTTTTAATATTATTCCTGGACTTTATTTCTCAGCTTATACAGTTTTCAAATTCGTTGATAGCGA